CTTACCATAATTAGTCTGTGAGTGGAGTGGATCAAATAAGAACTCTGATGCTAAGCATGTTATTTGTCTTAAATTGGCAAAGCAAAATGGCACAAAAGTACGAATATTAATTCTTAATTAATGATTATTTAAAGGAGGCCTACAACTTAATAATAGACCGAACGAGAGCTAAATTCTTCACGTACAATCACTTTGATGTAAAATAACAAGAAACTCCTAGGTTCTCTTTTTCTATATCATATATGTTCGGCTCTCCCAAGGGGCTACCTCGATGTACAATTAGTTTATATTAAGACTCATTCCTTTTACCAGAAGATGCATATATTTTATCTTAATGATAGTAAATATCCCGTGATGAGTTAGGTAACTGTAATGATCGTTTGTTGACGCTGGAGGTCAATGCAATGCATTATATATGGTTTTTACTTTTTACCAAACCACCAGAAAAAGACAAATTGACCGAAAAAATTGAAAACAACACAGATATTAATCTTAATGCTTACAAAATCCATGCATAGCTCACGAGTAGCTAAATGTAAATTCCAGAAGGCTTTGAATAAATAAATAAATTGAAAAATAAAAGAAATTGCAACTGAATTCATATCGAGTAACTTTTTGGACCGACACCCTACAACTGTCACATTTGTCTACAACATTCATCACGTGAGGAGGAGTATTGTAATTTGTAGACACACAAAAAATATACCGTGACACGATAGATTTTCTCCAAGTAGCCATCCCTACCCCTATGTGAACTGCAAATGATCATTTGCATACACGCAATATGATTTATTTTCACATCAACTTTTAAAAGAAAACGTCCATTATTAGAAGTGTACGTTAAATATCCAAAATGCAAATCTGAATTTTGTAGAAATCACCATCAGCATTCATCTTATTTGATTGGTTTTTTGTTTTATATAAAATATTTCAAATAAGACAAAACAATAGCCAAATATCGCCCCCAATGCTGATCCCATTGCTACGTATTCTTGTAAAGAGACCTTCCGATAGGGTCATCGATCTGCATTTGATTCAAATTGCTCAAATCACCATCAGATAATCAAAACGCATTGCAACTTGCATTTGATAAAAAAAATTGTGTTTATTTCCATTACGACTTTTAAAGTTAAATTCTAATTTTGTCGTTATTTGAATTTTTTTAGATTTTTTTAATACAAGCGATAGTTTAAATTACAAGAAAGATGAGTTTCTCATTCTCACACGCTACTCGGCTAAACCCTATTGGCATTCGAATTCCTTTTTTTATATCTACCTCAAATATCTTTCTACTCCTCATTCGTTTAATTGATTTTCATCATAAGAAACAAAAAATACCATGCACAAATGATCCCTTTGACGTACGTGCTCATCCGACTGCCAGTGCCAATCATTTAAAAACAACACTCTATGCAAAGGGGAGCTTTCCTAGATTAGGAACTTGGGGCACTTGTTATACCGAATTAATAAATATTGAGACTTTGGAAGCAATAGTGATTGACACGTTACGTTACTGCATTCTGCAGGGAGAGGGATAAGTTAATTTCTTAATTCCGATCCCCAAACCCTCAGGTAACGTGAGGTGGACGAATTAATGGGTCAGTAAAAGAGTGCCCCTGAGGTTTTTGGTGTTTCATAAAACAAAATACGTCGAGGTTTCGGAAATTACACTATCCCTTATATTTTAAATTACTTTCACAAAGCTCCTTCAGTTAATTTTCCACCTAAAAATTTTCCCAGCTTTGCTTCTATGAGAGTGCGGATATGTTCTCCAAAAAAAACCATTATTTTTAGATCCACGAATTCTGACGAGGCAAGGCCTGCTGTTGTTGCAACAAACCGTAAGTGCCTGACCCATAACCCAAACCTGTAAAAACAATTTAAAAATATTTTTTAGAAAATCAAACCATAGCCAAGCCCATTTAGAAAAATACTGTAGCACAGCTCAATTTGAAAAAGTATTGTAGCCCAATCAATTCACTAAATAAGTAAATAAATATAGAGATTGATTGAATTTGATTAAATAGTCCAAACCTTGTGGCAGGTCTTTGATGCGTTTCTAAGTAGTCTTAGGTTTAAGCCTTTATAATACCCTCCTAAGTAGGTTTTCCCTGTGTGTGAGTTTTCCCCTTCCCCTTTCTAACTTCGGCAACCAAAAAAAAGTTCCAAACCCTAGTGCTTGATGCTACTTCACATTATTTGCAGTCGGCTAAAATTATCAGGTCACATAACTGTTTTGTGTGTTCTGCGTTGTATCTTTCAATATGAGTAATCTATATATATATATATATATATAACTCAAGTGGTTAAGGAAATTTACTTTTTGTAGTGGGTACTTCAATTATGCTTAAAGGAACTAAAAGCTTCAACACCGTACAATACGATTTATGATCTATGGTACTAAACGACGGAGATGGGACTCTATCATACCTAGGGCTGGCAATGGGTCGTGTCGTGTCAAACTTTTAAACATGTCAAGAAACCCCAACCCAAACACGACCCATTTATTAATCGTGTCAGGAAATGCAAACCCAAACCCAACCTGTTTATAAACGGGTTGACACGACACGACCCATTTGTAACCCGTTTACTAAACAGGTTGGGTTAGGTCATAAACAGGTAACCTACCTGTTTAATGACATGTTTAATAACATAATAACCTGTTTAATAACCTGCTTGCTTCAAATTTATATTCTAACAACCAGCTCAAATATTCTGCTAAATCAAACATTCCAAAATGACAATAAAATTAAAAACTTCAAAGTCACTCTAAAATCCAAATCAAACATAAACAAAAAAAACTTTGATTAAATTACAACACAAAATACAACATCACATTCCTAACTCAAATATTCAGCCACCATTGTTAATGATGGTATTAGAGCACTCAGCAGATTGGGAGGGATTTACGTCCATCTGACTAATATCCTCAGTCAATTCTTCCAAGTTGGGTGCTAAAGTGGAATTTTCTGCAATTCAAACCATAAGACTTTAGATGATGATAAAAAGAAACAAATACAATGAATAAGATTATGGGAAATATACCTTGGTCACCAAATATCCAATCTCGTGTACAAATTAGTGCCTCAACATTTTCAGGTTTGAGAGCACTACGATACTGATCAAGCACTCTACCACCAACACTAAATGATGCCTCAGATGCGACTGTAGATATTGGAATAGATAGTACATCACGAGCCAAAATAGATAGTTCAGGATATCGAAATTGGTTGGCCTTCCAAAAATCAAGAACATTCAAATTTATCTTCCTATCTACTTTAGGCTCATCCAAATACAATTGCAACTGTGACTTTTGGGAAGAAGTGATAGACTCCTCACTTTCAAAGGTATCAAATTCCTAATAATATAACAACATTATTGATATCAGCACATAGTCAAATATAAACTGAAATTTGATGTATTATGAACAAAAGAAATAGCTTTTTACCTTCATAACATCCATGCATTCCTTTGAAACCATGTCATCAACATGAGAATGAACACCACTTGAGGTACTTGATATACCAGCAACTGATTCAGACTTAGCATGTATTTGCACATATAAATCAAAGAGAGAATACAACATATCACGAACTTTGGCCATTTCTTGGGAGTTCGTACCATACAACCTTTTATAATAAAATTCCACAAACTGAATTTTATATATAGGATCCAATATTACAGTAATTGCAAGGATCAAACTATACTCTTTCCAATACTTATCAAATATACATAATTAACTCAAATAATAAGGAACAATTAATAACAAATATAATTTAGGGATAAAAATGTAATAATTAAGTGCTCATCAGTTTGTAAAGACATTATAAATATCAAATGTTGTAACATATAATCACAAAGTTATCCACACCAAGATGGATAAGGTGCAACTTTGCAAGGAGAGGGGTGGAATTGGCTGGGGTTCGAAACCCATTGGGTGTGCTGAAGGTTCAATTTCTTTAATTTTTTTCGCGGGTTGGCAGGTAGTAAACAAGTTGACACGACCCATGACACGACCCGTTTAATAAACGGGTTAAACAGGTATTTAATCGGGTTGGCGGGTTGACTCGAAACCCACCCGTTTATAAACGGGTCAGTGGCGGGTTGACCCGAAAATTACCCGTTTATTAATCGTGCGTGTTCGGGTCGTATTTTTCCCGTGCGGGTTTCGAGTCGTGTAACGGGTCGAGTCGGAAATTGCCACCCCTATACCTGGTAACTCCTAGGATGAATATCATTTCTAACGTGTGAAACTATTATCGGACCTTTTTTTGGGTTGCCAAAAAAAAGAAAAAAAAAGGATGTGAATAGAATCAAGGGTTACAAAAATGGTTTAAGCAAAAAGGAAAAAAAAGGGTTACTCAATAGAATCAATCACCTCGAAAGCGATACGGGGAAGGGAGGTTTTCTTACAAGTTGTCAAGGTATCATAGTGTTTCGAACCTTAAATCACTGGTATGCAAATGCAGGTTAATGCTTGCTGTTGACTCAAATACATTCAATTTAATGTGATTCTTGTTTTTTAGCAAATTTAAGCTTATTTGTCAAATTCATATCCTTTCTTTCAAATCCCTCCATCCAAACATAGCTTAAAACTCCTGAATTTAATAAATTAAATTATAGTCTCTAATCCATCCTTAATTAGTTTAGTGATTTCGATTACTATTTTCAAATATCATTATATACATTTCTTACAAATCAAGATATCCCCATTATCATCGTCGTTCTATCTTCAACAACTCCAAAGCTAATTAGAATCAATCTTAATTTTGAAAATTGTTTTCTTTGCAATTAAGAATTATAGCACATCTATATCCGTTAAAACGGCTCAAGGATTTAAAAGGTTGGCCCTTTAGGCTAGCCCACGGTCATTAATGAAAATTGACTTGACTTGATTGTAATGAGAGCAAAAGCTCACCCTCCTCTTCACAGCCACACATATCAAAATCTTGGATAGAAAAAGAAAGAGATAATTCTGCAAAAATTTCTGAAACCAACACTAATTTGGTAAATATTTATCGTCTATATTCAAGACCACCAAACAAAATCTGAAAAGAAATTCATAAAATTAAGTCCAAAATCAAGAAAAAGAAGAAGCCCCATTTAATATTTCCATTAATGAAAATAATCAACAACTCATGGGAGGAAGATCAGAGCCCTTTTCATCCTGAGGATCTGGTTTCTTGAAAACCCTACTCCCAAACAGCAAGAACCCAATAGTGTGCCCAGCCACAGCCACAAGAAACACACCAACATTAAACGACATGACGGCCAACATGACCATATAAGCCAGCCCAACCCTAATGGCATGCAGGAAAGTCTGGGCCAGTCCACAAACGACGTCGCTTGAGCCAGCCTTGATTAAACGACAATGAGACAGCCACTCGACGATGACAGCTAGGGCAAAGACAAAGAGCAGACACACATAATACATGCCGGTGCTTGAGCCTGGCCACTTGGAGAAGAGCACCTCGGCGTTCGTGCCCCAGAAGAAGGTCATGTGCATCATCATCTTATGGTGCATCATCCCATTTGAGCCGTTCATCGTGGATGATGGTGGTGATGGTGGTGATGCCATGCCTCCCATATGCCCATGATCCATACCTTCTCTCTCTCTCTCTCTCTGTGTGAAAATTTTGCTTGTGTTTGGGGTTTGAAAACTTGAAATGAGTGAGTGCTCTCAATGCATTTAGTTGGGGGTATTTATAAGGATATTACTTAGGGTGTCTTAATGTATCTGTTCGTACGCATTGGGGCTCGTAATGTGTAGTACAAAGATAAAACTCAACTGGGAAATTTGTGAATTTACAAATATGTATATGCAATAGGTGCAACAAACCCTTGCCGAGATAGCTTGATGTACTATAGAGGGGTATATCTGTCATATTACATCATTTTTAAATGAGAATCAAATATATATATATATATACCACCAATTAAAAATGATTATTTTGGATTCAAACAAAATCAACTGTCGTGTTTTGTTAATATTATCTTGGCAGTATTCTTGTGTAAATAAAAAATGGTCCTAAGTTCACCTGAAAAGTCATCCGTGATTGCTATCGTTTTGAACTTTGAACTGTAGTTTTTCATTTTTCTTTTGGTTTTTGTTTTTGTTTTCATCTGGGAATCGTCAATTCACCGGGTCAATGAAGATGGTACATTGCAGTTTCATGAAGAAACGTGTGTTGCATGGCACTGCCGCGTATGCATTGCCAAAATAAGAGAAATACCGTCTAAGGTCTCAGTCTTTTTGTTTTTGGTCCAGTCTAAGGTCAAGTCGTCTTGACGCATCCGGCGGTGTTTGATATATAATACAGTACAAAATAGCAGCCTAGAGAAGAAGAGCAGTAGAAAAGAGATGGAATTAATAGTACATACATGTAGATCATGTTGAGAATTAATGACTAACTCACTGCCCTTTTAAGATCTTGTTGTTGATGGACTTTGGACAAAGAACTCAATGATGGATGAGTCTTACACACACACACAGAAATTAACCAAGCACAAATGACACAAGTGTTTATAGAGGTTCAGCAAATTGCCTACATCCTCTTTGGTGATCACCTTGAGAAATTTCACTAATGAAGATAGGTTACAACTTTGGTTTACAAAGGAAACCCCCTTAGAACACTACCCTCACAATCTGTTTCTCTCACACCCTTGCTCAACACCTTGATACACTTAGAGAACTCTCTTGCTCTCCCCTTAGTTTTTCTGAACACACAACTAAAACTACAGCTCTAACTCAACTTGGAATACCAGCTTCTTCCACTTACAATTATTCAACTTGTTTTCTCCTCTTGTGTTATCTTACTTCACCCTCATATATGGATGGATGGATGGGGATGGGTTAAAATTACAGGACCAATTCCGTTTTGACAATTTCTGATTTTGGCTAGTCCAAATCAATTTTGACATCCGAAAGTTCCGAAATAAGAAATGCATGAATGTGATTCAATAACTCATATTGCTTCCGTATTTAGATTACTGCATCTTATCAAATCTTCGTCATTTATAGTCAGTCTAACTTTTTCTGGTTCTGTTTCTTAAAAAGAGAAGAAAATTGCTCTTGTGGTTTTGGGCTCGCGCTCTGCCAGATCATTGTTCAACACATATCCTACTCAATTATGAGTAATTTGTATATTGAATTTGTCAAATTTTGTTCACTGACGTGATAGTGCCACAAACTGACAAAGGTTCTTTTTTTTTTTTTTTTTTTTTTGGAGAATGACAAAGGTTCTCTAACACCATCTTTTGCTCTACATGTGGGACCCAATTTATTGCTTATCTAGTTTTTTGTTTTTTGTTTCCTTTTGCTTCACCATAACACAGTAAGTAGCTAAGCTATTGTTTGCTTCAAATCTTCAGCCGGCAAGTATGTTCTGAAACTGCACAATCAATCGCAAATCCTTATGGTATGGTGCCAAGCTATGTTGCTTTTGTTCGGGTACGAGTACATCAATACGATACAATACAATTTGTTGATATAGTAAAATTTCAAAAGCTAGGATATGAATATGGCGATTAAAATAATATATATTTAAAAAATAATATAAATAGAAAAAATTAATATTATATCCATCATGTTATAATCATTCATCATAACTTCAAAACAAAAAACTAAACACAAAATACAAGTCTCTATAATTAAAAAAAAAACACAAAATATAAGTCTGCATAGGATTGTTCAAATCATAAAAAAAAAAAAAAGCAATACAAAAACAAATTAAAAATTGAGAAGCCACTTCCCAAATCTCTAACTTAGGATTTTATAATTTTGAAAATCACCAAATATATTTTCAAATATTTTGAAAATTATCCCTTAAAGTATCATAAACGTATCCTTGAAGTATCGGAAACGTATTAGAAGGTCAAATTTTCAGAAAAGTCAACGATGCTCATATATTTGTATCGTATACGTATCAGAGGTGTATTGTACCCTGTATCGGCGTATCAAAGTATCGGATACCAGTATACCCCTCCAAATAAGAATATCGGTGCAACATAGGTGTGCCTTATTCAAATCGGGTATCCCTTCAACTTTACAAAGAAAAAGCATTGTCTACAAGAAAAACACCATTTTGGTTGGTTTGGACGCATGTAGTTTGAGTATTGGTCCAGTCTAGTCCACTCCAACAACGCGTAATAAAAAGTAAGTCAACCATCCACGCAAAAGAGACGAAATTCCTATGAAAATTCCTAGTTTCCCCCTTGAACATTAATTGTGCCTTTGAACTTCACCATCATCCTCATTATATAGACTATTGATCTAGGTGAGATTTACTTGTGATTTTCGTATAACGTATAATCCCTCTCTTGGTTTGGCCAGTAATTTCCTAATATTCAATCAATTTTCTGTACAATTGGTCAGTTTGGCATAATTAAACACCAGTTTGACATCTCACACAATGTTCATAAGCATTAAGGTAAAAGAAGAGAAAGTAAAAAAGAATAATATGCTCACAAGTGTGTACACAAGTATCATCTGCCAAACAAAAATAAGTACGTAAGTGAATATTCTTCAATCAAAATTAAAATTTTCAGATGATAAGGTACCTCCAATATGCTGCTTAGCAACAATTGATTGGAGTAAGATCATCAGTTTGATCCATATTAGGCACTATCTTCTTCGATCTCATCATGAAAACCCTACTACCAAAAATCAAGAAGCCAACTGAATATCCAGAAATTGCAGCAAGTAAAACACCAACGTTGAACGACATTACTGCTAGCATTACCAAATAAGACAATCCAACCCTAATAGCATACATCAAGGTTTGCTTAAGCCCATCAGAAACATAATTATCTGCGGTAGATCCATCGATCAATTTCGTGTGCGAAAGCCACTCTACCACCAAAGAGAGCAGAAAGACGGATACTAAGGCCAACATGTAAGACTCAAGGCTCTGGCCTGGCCAACCTGAGAACATAATTTCTGTAGTGTTTCCCAAGAAATATGTAAAATGGGTTTTCATGGTTGCTTTGCTCCCAAATAAAAATGAGAGATTATAAAAAGAAAGAAGTAAATAAGGGAAAGTGGGTTTTAGTACTGGAAGTTCATATATCTGTACTACAACAAATGGTACTTAATTTAATTTGTGGTGCCAAACTCCATCAGCTAGCTTGGTTAGTGGTGCTTCCACCATAGACTTACCAAGTAGATTCTTAGTCGGCTGGCTATAATTAACTGGGCCATGTCATATACTAGTCACAACTTTTGCACTATAGTCTTGTGTTGGGGGTGGAAATTTGCATATTTTAAGAGCAGATGCAATTTCTTTAAGTAGCATTCTGTGTACTACACATATTAGATTGGGTAATTGTAGTACAAAACTGTACAGATAAAATATGTTGGCTGATTTTTTTCTTCTGCTTATACCCAAAAAATTAAGCACCATGTGTGAATAAAAAAAATGTTTAAATTAATTTATTGTCTATTCTAGATTGCCGGCATTTCTCAATACGAAACAATGAAAGAACACCAGTGTACCGGCTTTCAAAGAAGTACTAATGATGTTCACGTATGAGTGAAGGGGTTGCTAACCACTTATTGGTCTAGTAGTTTTTTTTTAGTATAAGTGATAGTGTAAACTAAAGAGGAGGGAGATTGCCAACCGTTTACCTCCATTGGGAGAGCTCCCGCGGCTAAAGGGATTAGTCACTGCTGTCGGCGGTGAATACCCTTGGGTCTCACCTAAAAAAAGAGGAGGGAGATTTCTCACACACACATCCTGTTGGCAATACCTTTTCTTTTTCTAACAATGAAAAATGTTGCAAATTTGAATTCCTCATCCCGTAGACAAAAACAAAAAACAAAAATTGTGCAAGAAGTGTTGAGTAACACAGTGTAAAAAATGTTTGTATCAAATTTGTTGTACTCAAAATGCACGTGCCCAGTCTGCCCCTATTCTTTTGACATGTATCTTGTCACTTAACATAAATTTAACACTGTTAACTTTATTTAAACATAATATAATTTTAAAAATCACTTCAGTTCCTCACATATCAGAAGAATATAATAAGGAGACAAGATGAGTACGTGACCTTTATTTATTTATTTATAAATACAAGTGATATAGTCTAAACTATAAGGGGGAGGAGGGTTTCTCACACACACAATACTAAAGTGCCAAGGGGGTTCGAACCTAATATCACTGGTCTGCACGTCAATGTCTTTTTCCATTGGGTAGACCCCGTTGGCACATGAATTTTAAGTATAGCACAATTGAACTCCTCAATAAAGTCCCATGGGAATTAGATTTCCTTACAAGAATTAAGACGGCTGTTGACTATGAAAACGGCTATAATCTAGGGCAATCAATTGATCCCAAAATGAAAAGCATTTTGGAAGGTAATAGTTTGAGTTTAAATGATTTCAAGTGGAAGTGGAAAAATGGTTTTGGATTTGTTGAAACGATAATTTTTATGAAATAAATAAATAAGGCACAAGAAAAAAAAAGGGAAATGGCTGCCTGCGTGGAAATTTATTAAAGTTGAATGACAACAGTTTTGGATTTGTTGAAACGATACTTTTGAGCATATGCAATTTCTTTAAGTAGCATTCTATGTACTACACATATTAGATTGGGTAATTGTAGTACAAAACTATACAGATAAAATATGTTGGATGATTTTTTTCTTATGCTTAAACCCAAAAAATTAAGCACCATGTGTGAATAAAAAAAAGTTTAAATTAACTTATTGTCTATTCTAGATTGCTGGCTGTAGGAACCGAATTAAATCACCCTAGGTCAAATAATTCCTTCTATTTGGGGATTATTTGACCTAATTGGGAGTTACCTAATTAAATTGGGGATTGATTTGATTCCTACCACAATTAGGGATTTGATTATAATCAAATAAATCGAATCCCTAATGAATCAAATCTCGCCAAATCGGAGAGGAATAATTCCTTTCCATCTACAAAATTATTCCTCTGAAACCCTAGCCTCAGAGGCTCCTATAAATACTTGGCTACGCACAAGGGTTAAGGTACGTCTAAATTCCTACTGAAACTCTGTAGAAATTATCCCTCACAAACCCTAGCCGCTATACTCTTTCTCTCTCACACACAAGGCTTCGGCCACCACACACGGCTCTGGCCACCCGGTTTTCCTTTAAACATCCAACCTAACTTAGGCATCGGAGGGCCTTTGGCCAACACCTGCAGGGTGTGGTCCTTTTACTCCGGTTTGTTTTGCAGGGGGAAAGAGAAGCGAAGAAGACGAAGGAATCTTAGGCGAAAATTCTTGTGGGACGAAAATCGCTCCCACAAATTGGTGCTTTCATTGAGAGTGCGAAATAATACTCAAAGCGTGCTTCAAATCCATTTTCCACACTTTTTTCCAATCAACCATGGCCGATACAATACGTACGAAGAGTAACACCACCACGACGAGCCCATCTCATGGTTTCGTGGTGGGAACCTCATTGCAACCGCATGGAACCATGGCTGCCAACACCTTGCGGCCGCCTCCTAGTGCTTTGCAGCCACCCCCAACTGCCGGAATTGCAGAACAGCCACCGCAGACAGCTGCTGGAATTGCAGAACAGCCGCCACATGGTCTTGTGACCTGCACAGCCCTGCAGCCTCAAGCACTGACTGCCAAAGCTGCTCTACTGTGTCATCCTGCTGGAGCTGCTCTGCCACGCCAACCTGCCGTTAGAACACAGCAGCAGCCACACCACTCAGCTACCGGACTTGCTGCACAGCCCTATGGCTACTTCGACGCTGTCCCAGTCTTGGAGCAAATCCATTCTCTCCCTCCTCTGCCACCACACTTGACGTATGCGTCTAGCTAGCCCTAGCCCATATGCCATTGGGCCCGACGCACACCTCTGGTAAGGTGGATTTTAACTCACGGGTTGATCAGCTCACACAAAGGGTTGACGATCAAAACAACCTGATTGGCCAGCTACTTAGGCAGATCAACTTGAACAAAGGCCCTAGCCTTGGAACCCGTGACGAGGAGAGGAGGACGCATGAGCATGCCAGTGAGCAGTTCAAGAGATCCCAGGCTAGTCAGACAGGGATAAACAGGCAGGGGGAGAACGAGATCGTGCTACCGAGACACAGATGTTTGCAAGTCGTACTCTAAGCCGATCGATGATCCGTTCGAGGTTAGGTCCAAGGACCAATGTACACGAGAGGCTAGGCCCACAGTCCAATGTCCGCGCTCGCTTGGGCCCACAAGGAAGTATCCAATCTAGGTTGGGCACACAAGGAGCTCGAATTCATGAACAATCGCGTGATGAGCGCAACGATCGACGCTCACCAGCTCGCTCGAGAACCAATACACAGTGACAAGCCGTAGAGGGATCCTCACAAGCTCAATCTCCCAATCTGCCCCATGGGCAGAGCAACCAAGGGGATCGACCCCTGTGAGATGAGGAGGAAGTTAACCAGCGGCACTCAAGGCACCGAAGACATCGACCTGAGCCACTAGCCCTGCGGGCAGAGGATGTCGAGAAATTAGTGAATGACCGACTCCAAGGTCTCCAACTTAAAGGAAGCACGGAGGAGGCCTGGCGCAAGGAAATTAATTAAGTCGACTGCTCGCCTTTTACCGACGAGGTGGAACGAGCTCTGCCGCCAAAGCAGTTCACAACGCCATCCATCACTCATTTCAAAGGAGACTCTGACCCTGAGAGCCATTTGATGCACTTCAAGAGCGCCAAGATCCTGTACAAGGCAGACGACACCCTGATGTGCAAAGTGTTTGCGATGACTCTGCGAGGAGCAGCTCAAGACTGGTTCCACATTCTACCGTCCGCGTCGATAGGCAACTTCAAGGAGTTTGCCCTCATCTTCACAAAGGAGTACATCTCCTACAAGACGGTCAGAAAGCATGCAGACCACTTGTTCAACATGCATAAGAAACCAGATGAGTCTCTTTGAGACTACCTCAGACGGTTTAAGGCTGAGAAGGCGAACATCATAGGATGCAATGACCAAGTTGCATACTCAGCTTTTAAGAAGGGCTTGCCAATTGAGCACGAGCTATACCGTGAGCTGGCCATAACTCCAAGCCAAACCTTGGCAGAGGTCTTCAGGACGGCAGAGCGCTATGCACTTTGGGACGATGACCGTATAGTGGCGAAGAAAGCCAGCAAGCAAGTTGATCACCCGACAAGGCAGGCATGCCAAAAGAGCAACAAGTTCGAGTCCAAAACCAAAGACAAGCGCAGATCGCGACCCCAAGAGGGATGCTCGGAAACAGGAACCTTCACTGAGTTCATTATCCCGATCCACCAGATCTTGGCACAAGTGAAGGACAAGCCGTGGGTGAGAAGACCACCACCCATGAGGGGAGACCCCTCTAGGAGGGACACCAGTAAATACAGCGCATTCCACGGGGAGCACGGTCATTACACAAACAACTGCAACGCCTGGAAAAGGCACCTTGAGGAGTTGGTTAGAGATGGCCATTGCACAGAATTCGTCGCAAAGAAAGCCATCCAGCAGATCGAGGATCGTGATGCGGTTGCCAAGGAACCTCCCCAAAAGGTCATATGGATCAACACCATTCTAGCTAACTTCCAGGAGTTTGGGCTGACCACCAAGGAGCACAAGAGAAAGATCGCGCAGGCGACTTATGTCTCCCAAGTCACAACGGGCGTACCAGTCATTGCAGATACACCTATCATTGGCTTTCAGAAGAAGGACTTGATCGGGCTTGATCTCCCGCATAATGATGCCCTAGTAATCTGCATCCAAATTGAACAAGCTGTGATCGAGCGAGTTCACGTGGACGAGGGTAGCGCAGCCAATATCCTGCAACTATCTGTTATCTAACAGATGGGATTGGAGCCCAAGATCAGCAAACTTGCCAGATCACTCACCGATTTCAATGGGGCCACGTCAATCATTGTTGGAAAAATTGACCTAGACGTCTACTCACCCCCAGTGGTCTACTCGCAAACCTTCATGGTCATCGACGAAGTCTCTCCCTACAATGGAACCTTGGGCCGACCGTGGATCAGCAAGATCGAAGCCATCACATCTGCTCTACACCAGAAGATCCGCTACCCCATTCCTGGTGGCGATCAACAGTGACCAAGCCATGGCAAGGAGATGCACAGCCCAAGGGCTTAAGAAGAGCAAGCAGTTGCAGTTCACACCAGTAATGCAAGCTGCCAATGAGGCAGGAAGCGCTCCTAGCAGACAAGCAAGCCTGAACGGGAAGGGAGTTGCTACCTCACAATAGCAATTAAGGAGCCAGGATCAAGGCGAGGGAATCCACCTGGAAGATTCCCCTGAAAAGGGTTGGAAGCTTGAGGATGACGTTGAGTTAGTAGCCCCTGATCCTGGCTCGCCAGGCAAAGAAGCGCAGATCGGCTCGAGCCAGAATCTAGACGAGAAGGATCGAGACTGGGGAATCCGCCCATAAGGCTCCCTTGAAGAAGGTTGGAAGCTTGAGGAAGACGTTGAGTTAGTACCCCTCGATCCTGACTAGCCAGACAAGAAAGTACAGATCAGCTCGCGCCTAAGCCCATATGAGAATGTGTAGTTGACCACCTTCCTCCAAAACAACAAAGACATGTTTGCGTGGTCGCCATCTGACATGTCTGGCATCGACTCGAACATCATTTGCCACCGGCTCCATGTCAACCCCGCCAACAAGCCAGTAACGCAGAAGAGACGCAACTTAGCTCCCGAGCGGGTCGCAATTATAGAAGCAGAGATCGAGCTGCCGGCTTCATTGAAGAGGTCTCCTATTCAGAATGGCTAGCCAACGTTGTTCTGGTGGCGAAACAAGAAAAGGGCAAATGGAGAGTTTGCGTCGATTACACCGACCTCAACAAAGCCTGCCCTAAAGACAACTTCCCACTGCCAAGAATCGACCAACTCATGGATTCAACTTCCGGCAATCAGTTGCTCAACTTCATGGACGCCTACTCAGGCTATAACCAAATCCTGATGCACGAGGATGACAAGGCGAATACCTCTTTCATCATTGAGAGAGGGACCTACTGCTACAAGGTCATGCCCTTTGAGCTAAAGAATGCCGAAGCAACCTACTAAAGGCTTGTGAATAAAATTTTCAAGGAGCAGATCGGCAAAACCATGGAAGTGTACGTGGACGACATGCTGGTTAAAGCCCCTAAGCGAGCAAACCACATCAAGAACCTCACTGAGGCATTCAGCCTGCTTTGCCAGTATCGCATGAAGTTGAATCCAAGTAAATGCATGTTTGGTGTATCGTCCGGCCGATTCCTGGGATACCTAGTCACTCAACAAGGTATCAAGGCGCACCCACGCCAAATCAAGGCAATTTTCGAGATGAAGTCACCTTCAAAGGTAAAGGAGATACAAAGTATGACGAGCAGAGTAGCGGCCCTCAACCAATTCCTCTCGAGATCTACCGACAAGTGCAGACCATTCTTCAAAGCTTTGAAGAAGGGACAAAAAGACAAATGGGACGAGGAGTGCGAAGAAGCTTTCCAGAATCTAAAGACTTACCTCACTTCACCACTCCTGCTCTCAAAGCCAGTTCTTGGTGAAGACTTGTTCGTTTACCTGGCAGTGTCCAACTCGGCCGTCAACTCAGCTCTCATCAGAGAAGAACTGGGAGCCCAACATCCGGTATTCTACACGTCAAAAGCCCTTTTTGATGCAAAGACTCGCTACCCGAAATTGGAGAAGCTCATTTTGGCCTTTGTAGTTTCCGCGAGAAAGTTGCGACCCTGCTACCAAGCTCACCGAGTCATCGTCATGACCGACTTTCCTTTGAGGTCAATCCTCCACAGTCTTGACGCGTCTCAACGACTCATGAAGTGGGCTATAGAGCTAAGCCAATACGACCTCCTCTACTAGCCGAAAATTGTAATAAAAGCCCAGGCTTTAGCAGACGTTGTCACAGAATTCACGCCATCGGCTGAAGAAGAGAAGTTGGTCAGCAAAAAGAAGGAAAGTTCGAGAGCAGACAAGGCCTCCGCTGAACCTAACCAACCTAGAGACATGTGGCAGTTGCGTGTAGACGGAGCGTCAAAACAAAAAGGAGCTGGAGCAGGTGTCATCATCATCACCCCGGATGGAACCCTGTTGGAGCAAGCTATCACGCTTGGCTTCCCAGCCTCAAACAACGAGGCAGAATACGAGGCATTGCTAAGGAGCTGTCAATCAAGAAGCTGGCCATCTACTCAGATTCCCAGCTGATCACAAATCAAGCCTCAGGAGAATACATGGCGAAGCACCCTAGGATGATCTTGTACCTTGACAAAGTCCAAGAGCTGTTGAAGTTGTTTCCTACCTTCACTATCCAATAAGATTGTGTTGGACTGCCTGAAGAAAAGACTAGAAGGCACAGAAGGAAAATGGATCGACGAGCTGCTAGGAGTCCTATGGGCTTATCGCACAACCAAAAGGAGATCAACCGGCGAGGCACCATTTTCTCTGGCCTATGGGACAGAAGCAATCATCCCCCCACACATCACAGTCCCTTCCATGAGCATTGAGGTGGGGCAGTCTTGACCAAAACTGCAAGCAGAGGAAAGTCAACCTTGATCTGCTCGAAGAAGAATGAGAAAAGGCAATTGTTCGAGTTGTAGCTTACTAGCAGCAGCTCACATCTTACTACAATAAAAAGGCCATTGTTCTAGTTGCAGCTTACCAGTAGCAACTCACATCTTACTACAATAAGAAGGTCATTGTTCGAATTGTAGCATACCAACATCAGCTGGCATCTTACTACAACAAGAAGGTCATTGTTTGAGTTGCAACTTACCAGCTTGACTCCAAGTAGGCGACGAGCCTCCCTTACCTCCATTGAAGGCAAGCTACTTCTCAAGTACAAACTTCATGGAGTATTTTTCGAGTGTTATGTTCTCGACATATGCCCGCAGGCAACAAGCCTTACTTCCATTGAAGGCAAGCTACTTTTCAAGTACAAACTTCATGGAATCTTTTTCGAGCACTATGTCCCTGACATACGTCGACAGGTGACAAGCCTTACCTCCATTGCAGACAAGCTGCTTCTCAAGTACAAACTCAATGGAGCCTTTTTCGAGCGTTATATCCCCGACATACGCCCGCAGGTGACAAGCTTTACGTCCACTGAAGGCAAGCTACTTCTCGAGTACAAACTTCATGGAGCCTTTTTCGAGTGCTATGTCCCTGACATACACCCGCAGGCGACAAGCCTTACCTCCATTGCAGACAAACTACTTATCGAATACAAACTCAATGAAGCCTTTTTCGAGCGTTATGTCCTCGACATACGCCCGTAGGTGACAAGCCTTACCTCTACTGAAGGCAAGCTACTTCTCGAGTACAAACTTCATGGAGCCTTTTTCGAGTGCTATGTCCTCGACATACGCTCGCAGGCGACAAGCCTTACCTCCATTGCTGACAAGCTACTTCTTGAGTACAAACTCAATGGAGCCCTTTTTGAGCGATATGTCCCCGACATATGCTCATAGGCGACAAGCCTTACCTCCACTGAAGGCAAGCTACTTCTCGAGTACAAACTTCATGGAGTCTTTTTCAAGCGCTGTCCCCTCGACATACGCTCGCAGGCGACAAGCCTTACCTCCATTGCTGACAAGCTACTTCTTGAGTACAAACTCAATGGAGCCCTTTTTGAGCGATATGTCCCCGACATATGCTCATAGGCGACAAGCCTTACCTCCACTGAAGGCAAGCTACTTCTCGAGTACAAACTTCATGGAGCCTTTTTCGAGTGCTATGTCCTCGACATACGCTCGCAGGCGACAAGCCTTACCTCCATTGCTGACAAGCTACTTCTTGAGTACAAACTCAATGGAGCCCTTTTTGAGCGATATGTCCCCGACATATGCTCATAGGCGACAAGCCTTACCTCCACTGAAGGCAAGCTACTTCTCGAGTACAAACTTCATGGAGTCTTTTTCAAGCGCTGTCCCCGACACACGCACACAAGCAACAAGCCTTACCTCCATTGTAGGCAAGCTACTTCCCGATTACAAACTCAATGGAGTCTCTTTCAAGCGCTATGTCTCCGGACATACACTTACAAGATACAGTGAGAATTGAAGTTTGAAAGACAACTGAAGATTTCATAAGCAAAGAGGCCAACCGGCTGAGTTCAACAAGAAATAAGGTGGTCAATTAGAGGCCACTTATTGAAAGAAAGTTACAAAGTTCATAAACAACAAAAATGAACTACATCTACTAGGGGACTTCGACAGATTACACTCAGCCGATCACATCCTCAGCTGCCTCAGCATCACTATGCTCAACCGGCACCATTTGCTCGGTAGCCTCAGCTGCCTGCTCCTTTGCATCTGCCCTAACCTCGTCAGCTGTGCCATCTTAGGCATTGTCTTCCTCTATTGCCGCTTCATCTGCTACCTGCTCTTCAACTGCTTCTACGTCCACAGCATTGATCTGCACACTTTGAGCAGGGGCAGGTCAAGACAGAGCGGCTCACCATCATCATCTTTGAGAGGGCAACATGGAGAAGCACCATTTCGGCAATCCAAGTATCCCAACTTGTACGCGTTCCCAACAATCTCATGCTTGGATGCCTCCGTGGCTTCCACATGGGTGTCAAACTTGGCCAGCAGCTTGTCACGATCCTGGGCCAGAGCAGCATGTTGACGTTCGAGGCGAAAGTAGGCTTTCTTGTGTTCGAGCAGAGTATCCATAAGAGACTCGAGCTCACCATCCTTTCGGCCAAACAGAATTCTTGAGCGCAAACATACTTTCCTTCATCTCGAAAATCCTCACATTATGGCGAATCCGCTCGTTCGAGAGCTTATCAGCCAGATCAACATTCTTCTTCACCAACTCGTCAAGCAGGGTAGAAGAGGGGG